ACTTGAAAAAACCGCCCACCCTCCCCAGATACTAGAAGGCTCTCTGACTTTGATTACAGATCAGAGTAGAACAAAGACAACAAAAGAATATATAACAACAAATATTCTGGAAATGAATACATGCTGTGTAGTCTTTTCAGTTTGAACAGCCAGGTGGGATCAAGAATAGCCAAAGCACCACATACTAGCTTTCAGCAGATCTCAGGAAAAGCATGTCCAACTTGACTCCTACCCTTAGGGGAGAGCTTTTTCACTACATGTGTAACAAAAACTCCTGAACTCTTGCTAACCTTCATAACTTGTTAATGGACAGAAGAGTTTGCAGAGCTTAGTTTGTCAAACCAGAAACAGAAAGAATGATGCCTGACCTAACAGTTCAGCCCTAGTCACAACTCATTAACAGAGAGACCGGTTGGGAAGGAAATCTTTGATGAGAATCGCAAGCAACAGCTTAATAGAAGCCATTATTTGCTCTCAGACAATAAATGAACAAAGTGCTTACATCTGGCAGAGATATTAGGTCCAAAAAACAGTTTAACTTGCTTTACATCCTTTCCCTTCTATTCTTTTCCCCTTCCTTCTTGCATTCAAATATTACCCGATTTAATGATTATTAAATGAATGAAAGCATTTAAAATATTTTTCTGGAGCTCCTTCAATAATTTATGGTAGAGAACCATATCATCAAACCATCATCATTACCTGTAAGCACAGCAAGGTTATTTCCCACCAATAGGGAGCAAGAGCTGAGACAGCTTATGCAAGGGTGTATAGGGCTTTTCCCCATGCCACACAGCACCCCACTCTGTGCATCCACACAGGCCTGGGTGCTCTGTTTAGTCACCACGGGAACAGAGAAGAGCACTCTGCACTGTGCTGAGTGGAGGATGGAGACAAAATGTGGGGTTAACCTCCTGTGCCCAAATTCACTTAAAGAGTCTGACCTCTCCATCATGCAGTAGGCACACGAGCCCCAAACACACTCTGCCTAGAGCAGGCTGTGCCTACTGCACTAATGCACTTTTATGTGCACTTTTATTAACATCGAGCAACCTCAATGTCCGGATAGGAATAAAACGGACTGAAAGAAGTTCTAGCAGAAATGTTTTCCAGTCTAGCAGTACAAACCTAGATGAATGCATAATTAGGGACTCGGAGAAGAGAAAAACTTACTTGGTATAAAACGCCACAAACTTCAGTTCATCTAAATCTCCTTGAATGAAGACATCATCGAATCCTTCTCCATGGCCTGAAAGACAGAAAGCCAAGAAATGGCGGAGACATATTCCTGCCATGTTAGCCTTTACTGAGCAAGCTCAGGCATGTGTATGCACTTACACGCCTCCATGCACACACAGAGCAGGTGAACTTGTTTGCACCCTCATCTGTAGTCCCACAATTGTTATTCTGGACTGCTCATATTTCAGGTTCAAACTCAGACCTTTCAGCTGGTGCTCCGCAACCTGTCTCCTTTCCATCTGTGCCATCATAAGGTAAAATCTCCAGCCTGCTTCATGGCAACCCCATATGAAAAGACTAGGATACAAAACCTGTAATAGCCTCAATTTCAGCATGGGGGAAAGGGAAAAGGGATGAATTCACATGATTACAAAGAAATTGCAAAGAAAATTCTAATTTCCATAGCAAATATCTTGTTCTCATTACATATATACTTATGATTTAGTCTGTGCAAGGAAAAAGAGCATGGGTTCATTTCTTTGCCTCAGATTCCACTCTAGCCTAAAGAGTGTCTTGTACTGCTCCCCAGTACAAGAGAGGCACGGCACTACTGGAGAGAGTCCAGCGGAGGCCTACGAAGATGATGAGGGGACTGGAGCACCTCTCCTCTGAAGAAAGGCTGACAGAGCTGGGCCTGTTTCAGCCTGGAGAAGAGAAGACTGAGAGGGGATCTCATCAATGTGTACAAGTATCTAAAGGGGGAATGTCAAGAGGATGGGGCCAGACTCTTCTCCGTGGTGCTCGGTGACAGGACAACGGGCACAAACTGAAACACAGGAAGATCCATTCTGAACACGAGGAAAAACTTCTTTCCTGTGAGGGTGACGGAGCACTGGAAGAGGCTGCCCAGAGAGGTTGTGGAGTCTCCTTCCCTGGAGCTATTCAAAACCCGCCTGGACGCGATCCTGGGCAAAGTGTTCTAGAGGACCCTGCTTGAGCAGGGGGGTTGGACTGGATGATCTCCAGAGGTCCCTTCCAACCTCAACCATTCTGTGATTCTGTGACTGGATCCTGGCAGATCATTCAAGGTAAGGAGAGTGGGTGTTACCCTGCAGGTGACCTCATGGACACCTAAAGAACCGCACCATAGATACTCATGAGTGTGGTCTCATAATATGTTTTTTTCAAAGGGAAGCTGGCTTAAGAAACTGTTGCACTGGTGTCACAACATTCACTCCTTCTCCCTCAGCAGTCCCAAAAACAGAGGTTGTGGATGATGCTGCAGTCAAGTCATTAAAATAATCCAGGTCAAAAAAATCCAAACAAGTTTTTTTTTTTTCTTCAAAATACCCATTTTTGCTCAAGGAAACATAAGTACAGGGAGATGTTCTTTGTCTACACTGGGCCAAACTCAATGACCATCGTGGTCTTTCTCACTTTATGAGACAAGAAAGGTATTTTCAAGGTCTTTCTGGGCCATCTGATGTGGGTAGAACAAGAGGCACTGAAAAGTTGACCCATGCCTGTGAGCAGAAGAGTCTCATAGGAGATACCAAAACCATCAAGTGCTAGCAAGGAAAGCAGATTTGAGACAAAGGTTGGTTCAGACAGGTCACAGCAGAGATGGCTACGACATCTATATCCCAGGACAACATCTCCACCAGCACAAACTCTACAGTAGCCTTGGGGAGACCCTACTCCACACTACAGCCCTCAATTGCCTCTTCCCTTGCTGAGGATGGTGAGAGCAGAAGGAGCCTCCCCGAGGTCATTTGCGCTCCCAGTTAAGTCTGGGTCCCCTTCCTCCTCCATCTCTCACTGGGGTCATGGGTAGTCCCCATGTCAGTCCTTCCACTTAGCTTGGTGCCAATCCCTCCCCCAGACCCCAGCCCTCCCACTGCATTTCAAGTCCCATCTTCTCCTCCTGCAAGGTGAAGTTTAATCCTCACTGCTCTCACTGTTTGAGTAGAGCCAACCCCTCTTCAACTTCTAGGCTCATCTGTCCTTCTGTTCCCTGCGTTATTTGGGCATCTCATTCTACACACAGTGCACTGGCTCTCTCAGCAAGGCTTGGGAGGGAGCTGTCAGAGTGCAAGTGACTGTAAGGTCCTCTCTGGTTCAAAATGCCACTTGCTCTTACAGCTCACATGATCCTTCTCTTACCTGCATATCGAATGCTCTTTCCAAACATAGCAGTCCACAGGTATGGGACCGTGCTGATTTCCATGCCATGGGCCAGCATGTTCAGAGCTGCTATACGGCCTGGAAGTCAGAAGAAACAGAACGAGTGAGGAAGCCCTGAGCAACCACTATGTCCTGCACTGCAGACTCAGAACAGCTCAGGCCTCTTGTTATCAATTTCTCTAGTCCCAGTGTACATGGAAAACAATAAGCATCTCTGAAAAGGAAATGTGTCTCATCTTCCAAGGCTGGGCTTAGAGAAAAGCAGTGCAGCGCTTACTGACTTGTTATCTTAATTTACAAGAAACCTTCATTAGCAAGAAAAACTTTTTAATGCGCCCATCTCAACATAGCATCTGCAATAGTGACAGTGCTACAGCTTGCTGAGCTCCTACCACAAAGTGGGATGGATAAGCCTCTTTGGGGCATGGAAACCATTATGATACAGAGTCATTGCTACCCCAGATTGGTACATGGTGAACCACTACATAAGCAGATAGCGTGACTCCCAGAAGGTTGTGGGAATGAGCTCTTATTTGGAGTCTTCATAGGTATTGTTATAGCATTTTGCTGTTCTAGTCATAAACGCACAGTTAGACCAGTATTAAGCTGCATACTGCGTTTGAAGGGCAGGTTAACTTTGGAGGTGCAATTCCAAAAATTCTCACCCGGGGCACCTGCTGGAAGGCTACCAGCACCACAGTGTTGTAGACTCAGAAAGCTTAAGGGCAGCCAGCCACATTAGGGCTTCCAGGCTTGCTGGTGTGAAACAGAGAAAGGTCTTGAGTCAGCTGCAACAGGCTCTTCGGTCAGCCCACAATTCCGGGCATTCCAGGTCCCCAGCCCTGAGCAGTCCACCTGGTGATGTGGGCCTGCAGCTACGGACCCTGCGAGCTGCCAGGGGGGCGGAACAAAAATGCTATTGACTGTCATGAGACAAGAACTTAAACTTCCTGCACTGGATGCAGAATGTCAGGAAGCACACTGTGCTTGGGAAAGTTGTGTCTGCGGGCACCTGAGTGTCTCTAGTAAGTGATCATGTACACCAATGCACGCAGCATGGGGAATAAGCAGGAAGACTTAGAGATCTGTGTGCGGTCGCAGGGCCACGATCTCATTGCAGTGACAGAGACATGGTGGGATAGCTCACATGACTGGGATGCTGTCCTGGATGGCTACGTGCTTAAGTCTCACAATCACAGGCCCTGGTTGTCATGGGAGACTTCAACCACCCTGACATCTGTTGGCAAGACAGCACAGCTAGGCACAAACAGTCGAGGAGGTTCCTGCAGAGCACTGAGGATAACTTTTTGACACAGGTGGTGGAGA